CTCTTTGCACTAATTGGGTACCCGTTAAATTTAGAGTGTTCAATGTAACTGTGAAATAACTGGTGAAAAATAAAAGCTAATTTCATGTTGCTTAAAACATTTAAATTGTTTCAAAGTTAATCAACCAACAAAAAGGATGAATCTAATCTTCATTGTTGACAACAGAACATATCTATAAATACCAAGTACTAAAAGAATTATTATACTCACAAAGGGTCATTAATGACTGTTTTCAAAGCATTGAGCAAATCTGTACTTGACATTGTGTTGAAGTCCAGTCTAACAGCTGCTCCCTTGGCCTTCATGTGAACAATGTTGTCTGGTTGATCCCAAAACAAAGGAATGCCCACCATAGGGACCCCGTGGTAGATAGCCTCATAGACACCATTGATTCCACCATGAGTTATAAAAGCCTTGGTTTTTGGATGACCTAGAATTGGGTGAATTTCAGCAAAATTATTCATCACAAGTCTTGAGAATAAAATGAGATATGCACAATATAGGACACTGAGAGCAGCAATGTTTTCTAGACAGCAGATTAGAATACTCATGAAAATGCCCTGAAATTGCATTCAGATTTCAGAGGAAGAAGCACCTACTTTTGCTGGATATGTAAGTGAAGGCTGCATGGAAGAAATGGTGCCTGACTTGAGAATGGAAAAATGAATAAAAGATTTCCAGGTGTACACGTTAAAAATCACATCATGGATAAAGAAAATGTAAGAAAAATATAAAAAGGAAAAAAAAAAAACTAAGAATTAGGTTAATAATGTAAGAAAATGTTCTCTTAAAGATATAGTGTAGTTACTGTGCCTGACAGGTAAAGTAAGGTGCCCAGGATGGCAGGGCGTGTGATGGGAACTGTGCTGAAATCAGAGGAAGGACAGGCCACCCTTCATTGTGGAAGTGTTATAGCATTGTAATCAACATTGGGGATTTTTGCAAAAATTATTCCACAGCATCAAGAAGGATGGAATGCTCCCCAACGTTTTTTATGAAGCCAACATAAGTCTGATACAAAAATCCGGAAAAGACGAAGGAAAAAAAGAAAACTACAGACTAGTATCCCTTATGAATATACATGCAAAGTTCGCAACAAAATCCTAACAAACCGAATCTAGGTGCTTATCAAGAAAATAATCCATCACGACCAAGTGGGCTTCATCCAAGAGATACAGGTATGGTTCAACATTTGCAAAGCTACAAATGTAATTCACCATATAAATAGAAGCAAAAACAAAGACCATATGATCCTCTCAATAGACACAGAACAAGCATTTGACACAATGCAAAACCCATTTATGATAAGAATGTTTAACAAAATAGTCATAGATGGGGGTTACCTAAAAATTATACAAGCAATATATTACAAACCCACAGCCAACATCATACTGAATGGGGAATAATTGAAAGCATTCCCACTTAGAACTGGAACCAGGCAAGGTTGCCCGCTATCTTCACTTCTATTCAACATAGTGCTAGAAGTCCTTGCTACAGCAATTAGACAAGACAGTGTAATTAAGGGCATCCAAATGGGGGCAGAGGAGATGAAACTCTCACTCCTTGCTGATGATACGATATTGTATCTAGAAAACCCCAAGGATTCAACCAAGAGACTCCTGGAATTGATAAATGAACTCGGTAAAGTCTCAGGATACAAAATCAATACACAGAAATCAGAGGCATTCATATATGTCAATAGCAGTCATACCGAGAACCAAATCAAAGACTCAATACACTTCACAATAGCAACAAAGAAAATAAAGTTCCTAGAAATATATTTAACTGAGGAGGTAAACCATCTCTACAGAGAGAACTATGAAACACTGAAGAAGGAAATAGCAGAGGACGTAAACCGGAGGAAAAACCATATCATGCTCGAGAGTCAAAGGAATAAACATTGTTAAAATGTCTATACTCCCCAAAGGGATCTACACATTCAATGCAATCCCTATTAAAATATCAACATCAATTTTCATAGATTTAGAAAAAATAATTTTATGCTTTGTATGGAACCAGAGATGACTCTGTATAGCAAAAACAATCCTGAGCAATAAAAATAAAATGGCAGGTATCAATCTACCAGACTTCAAACTATACTACAAGGCTATAGTAATGAAAACAGCTTGTTACAGCTTGGTAATGAAAACAGGGACATTGACCAGTGAAACAGAACTGAGAACTCAGATATAATTCATCCTCATATAGCCATCTAACCTTTGACAAAGCAGACAAAAACATACACCGGGGAAAAGAATCCCTATTCAATAAATGGTGCTGGGAAAACTGAATAGCCACATGTAGAAGACTGACAGAGGATCCATACCTTTCACCTCTCAAAAAAATCAACTCATGGTGGTTAACAGACTGAAACCTAAGATGTGAAATGATTAGAATTCTAGAAGAAAATATTGGAAAAACTCCTATAGACATCAGACTAGGCAAAGAATTTATGAAGAAGACC